AAGACGGTCACATAAATTACATTGCTTACTATTCTTGTTTTACTAGTTTATTAAATCAATGTACCCTGTAGCAGCCTTAGCATTCTGTTATTTTTATCCTACAGTGATGTGTGTTACTGGCATAGATATCAGAGTCATACTAGGGTATACAAGAAACCAGGTACAATGAGATATAAAGTAAACAAGATATCTAATAATACCATCAAAAATAAAGTTCAAGGATCATGAGCGAGAATCTTCATGTTATATAACGTCAATCGTCCTTCTCATTTGATAATAGTTAAATTCATTTTGCACACTAAAATATTAGTTTCTTAACTTATTTTACACATGAACTCCCTCATTTGCATAATAACATCAACATTACCTGCATGTTCTTATGGATGATACGACCAGGTTCTGGGAAGGAACCATTTGCTGCCTGGCGGTTTATCATCCAATCAATAGCTCTGGTTAGAGTTTCATCATCGATAAATACATGACGTTTCGCCTGGTGGAATGACTTAGCAACAAAAGCCGTTAGCCACATGCTACCCGACGGGTCCCTGTCTCCGAAAGCACTGAATGATCCATCCGTGTGCTGGAAAGTTAGTTCTCTTTGGTATCCTGCAAAAATCACATTTATTGTACATTATACAGACTGGCACATTCAAAAGTAACAAACCGGAACATAACTGGCCATGTGTTATTCAGATGTAATGAATAAATTGCAATGTATCATTGCTGTATTATTGGACCGATATAATTCATTCAAGTTAAATTACGCATATATGTTTTAGAAATAGAAACACGTTTCTTGTATTAGAAATTTTGAACATGGCAGAATGATATTATATTATCTTCATATAAAGTATTGTTGACTGTTTATACATTTCGGCTTAAGATTTTCTTACCAAATACTAATCATCCGTGATATTTTTAATTAAAATCATTCATCGAAATCTTTCGCATTATATACTAAGAAACGTCAAAAAACATAACTAGACAAAACACCTATATAGTTTTAAATTTGCTTTGTTATTTCAATATAATTATTGATAAACACAGAGTTTTTTCTAAAGAAAAAGAGTGCAATGTTTTGTAAAAAAGAGAATCCATTTAGTTTACACACATACTTTTACCTTAAGAGTATAAAAAGTGATGCATTAATACTATAAATTACTCATTTTTCGTATGACACTTACTTTTGCTTAAACCACGTACAATTTCGATCGCGATTTCAAGAGCGACGCGATAACTTTTCTCAATAAATTAAAGGAGCTATGACTTTGCGTAGTAGAAACAAAATCTCATGTAAAAAGTACGGAATGGTGAGTTTTCGAAATGAAGTATAGGGGTTATACATAAAGTTTACAGTTTTTATCGAAGTAAAACAAATGAAGCATATGAGTATACCTTTCTCCATAAAGTTGATCGCTTTCTCCTCGACACTTGATGTCAACTGGTGGGTGTCGGTGAGATAGTTAGTTACAAACACATCAGGTGCGAAACCTAACATCGTCTGTTCTCCACATCCGGTTGGCATGCGCAAAAGTTTATCTAGCCCATTGACCGTTGGTCCCATTAAGTCACCTACAAAAAGAAAATGAATAAGTTGTTAAAAATCTTTATTTTTAATTCCATTTAATTATTTTTCACGCAGGGAAGGTCTGGAAAAATCTTCAAAATCGATTTGATATTTCCGGAATCATACAAAATAGGCATAAAAACGAATCAAGGAAATAGTCTTTTTTGAAAATATTAATCTATGTGATACAATACGTTATCATATGCTGCGTTGACAATGTCAGCTTTTTTACGATGCTTTCATTCATTTCAATCAACTTCTTGAAAAATTATTACAGAAGAAAACATACCGATAGCCGAGACACGCACTCGCTGTGATCCGGCGACGACCCCAGCAGGTAATGTGACATCAACTGTCTCCGCGAAGTTGGTGTTGTGTTTCAGGTCAACAAGCATCGGTATATTGTACTCTTTCGGGACACCTTCAGCCTTATCGTGAAACAAGTTACATAATTCTTAGTTACTGTAATTCCTTGAATATACCTTTCTCGATGATTTACAATTGGTACATAACGTCCCATCGACCGAAATACCCACTACGTTAGTAAGGATACTTATATTGATACTCAATTTGAGTTTATGTCAGATTTCCTGATTTTACTTATACCGATACTTTTAAATAATACTGATACGGTAATAAAAACAAATCTACGTGAGCAGTAGCAAATTCCAGAATTTATCTATTTTACGTATATTTATTTCATTGCTGATAATCGATCACTTCACGGATGTCCGTCTCAAGATCAATAACCCTGTTTTGTACGAGCGCAAAAAAAATCACTTGCGACAGAATTAAGATATTCGTGCGAACAGTACTACAATCCATTTACATCCTCATTCTAGGACCCATTTCAAAACTCCAAACCATTAACAGGGTTGAGATTTTCTCTATCCATTTCTTTCAGAGGTCATTGTTTTTGTATGCCTCCACTATGAGTCGAACTAGGGACCTATGGCCTACTATTCTTACTCTCAACCGAGTGAGATAAAGAGAAAGTTGCCCTAGTTAAGTCGGTAGTATTTTACCAGGGTGACACCATAATGCAATGTCTTTATTTAGGTTTGATAGTGAAACCCATGACTAGTGGAACCCATGACTAGTGGAACCCATGACTATTAGCTACTCAGAGTAAATCAGGTTTTCTCTGGTGTACGTAGCCAAAATCAGTAAAGATAACGTCATAGAATATTTGTTATATCATAATCTTGAATAAAATCATAAGTGAATTTACTAGTTCTGTTATAAAGCGCTTACCATTACAAAACATGGATACATATATATTAAAAGACAAAAGTCCCGTTTCAAAGTAAGCCTTATTATTATATATTAATGGTTTGAATTAAGTATCGTTAAACAACTTTCCAAGACATGTTCCTACCTGAACATAACACAGACAATGCTCACACTAAAATGATGAATCGAGTTCGAAAACAAGTAAACAATATCAGCATCTGTACCTCAATAAGGAGTTGTCGCCTAACAGCGTCTGCGGCCAACGTAGACTGGGCCTTCACGTTAATACTGACAGAACCAAGGCCGGCAGGAACCACAGGGAAAAACACAGACTTTGTTCCACCAGCTGTTACCTAGAGACAGAATATCGAGATCTACAGTAAGTCGTGAAACAAGGGCTCGGTTGTATTTGATAGGTAAAATATGGTTAAAACGTACTTAAAATACACATAAATGCAATTAAATGTATACTCTATGATGATATTATTAATTTCGAATAAAATCTTGTATATAAAAATTACATCCTTATTGAAATATTTAAATTAATTTATAATACTGTGATGAATAGATATATCTGATTTTCAAACGTTACCTATGATGTATTTTCATAATGGTTCAGTTAATTGCATTTCATGGTTTTCAGTTTAAGAAATACAATAATTACCGAAAATAAATAATTAAATATGTCATAGGCGATAACAAAATCGAAACGGAAAAAATTGAAACGTTCTCAATATCTGCCATATACCTAAAAAAGAAATCATTCACTGTCTTAGTTCTGCAGCATGGCTTTTGATGGACAATTATGAGAAGTACTGGGAACAGTGTAATTTGATGATTTAAGATAGATTTAAAATTAGGAGACTAAATAGAACTTGCAACAATTATATAACTTAGAATTAAAAAAAAAAAAAAAAAAAAAATCAGCTAGATTGTAATCATGCATAGGAATGTCAACAGTTTGTTAAATACGATTTTTATTTCGTATAGCGAACACGAGAAAACTTTTTTTATTATGTGTTTGTTAGTCAAAAAATAAAAGTGAATGTGAACAAAATTCCGATGAAAGCCACGTATGGAACCAAATCATTTGAAGTTGACTTCGTTTGCACTACCCAAGATGTTTGAATGGAAATTAATTATCTAGTTCATCAGGTTAATGCATGCAATAATTTGCTATGCGGCTACCTGGTATTGGTTATTGTCTCGAAAAAACAGCGTTAAGCTAAACAAAAAATGGGATCAATGAGAAAAAAGATGTTTAGGAAAATATATCGCGCTAGCAGTTAGTCCTATGTCATCTGTTTAATCCTCCTGATTGGAATTTGTATGTAAAAGAAATCTATGACATATCGTTTTCGTCATTTGTCCAGTATGTATAAAAGTATGCCTCTAGATAGTTTTTGGTCCGAGCTAATGTGGTAAGATTTTGAAATGACTTGATTGTAAGCAAACATTATAATTCAAAAGTATATGTATGTCCCTAAAACATTCTAGATTTGAATAAACAATGGCTTAATTGATGATAGTTAATTGTATTTATTCAGTTGTTATAGCTGTATAACTACTTACGTGAACAGTCTTTGTTGTTGTCTGGGCGATGTAGGACTCTGTGCCATGTGTATTGAATACGACATTTACCAGATCATCATTCTTTTCTAATGTGACAACAACCTGGTATGTTTGGAAAAACATTAAATAAAACACAAAGAAAGTTCAATCAAACATGTTACTTACGGTCAACGGTGTTCAAGAACGGACTGACATTACTAAAAAGACGTCATATAAATACCACCCTTTATTTATTCTTTTATGTGCACATTGCGATGATTATCTGCTTGCTTAATATTTAAAAGTGATTGTAAGCCTTTATTTTTGTTTTACAATTATAACTTATACTATTATCCATATGTAGTTAAGCGCTTTAGAGTAATTTTACAAATTATATTGGGCGCTATATAAATGCAGTATATTATTATTATTGGATTTTGAAACTTTCTGTCAAAATAATCAAAATGTAAACTGTTTAAGTCTACTGCTTCAGAACAAAACAAGATATTAAAATATTTTCAATTATATATTTTTCTCTTTGAAAACACATGAAAAGAAGAAAGAACAAAAACTGTTGTATGTCGTTTTGAAATTGCCAACTCTTATTGATTTTGTTATTCTGTGTCATCTGACTAAGAAATATGATACGACGCTGAATATACGTACGTCCATATCCATAGTCATATAGTTGAAAACATTGGCCTGCAGTACGAGTTGTTCTCCTCTCACAACTGAATAAGGCAATGTCAGGCTGACAAAGAATGGTCTGAAGGCTTCAACCTGTAAAATCAAAAGAGGCTGTTGTAATTATATCATAAATGTGCCCAAAGTCATCAGTCATTTATCACGAAAGACACCGAGTGTGTTGGAAATTTCAAAATATCAAAAGCAATATATTAAACATACTGATTTAAGTTCAATATGAATACATACAATAGCAACAACACGCAACGAAAAATTCGGAACGAGAGTAATATTTTTACAGCAGGAATGCAATTATGATACAATATTGAAGAAAGCAGGCTTTCCAAACGGGATAAACGTTGTTTGTTCTTGATCAATTCATAAGTTCAGAACTATTGTATACTATGATAAGCGTGCCTTGGCGCTTGTTGGGGCGATTCCGAGGCCACTGGTGGCGTGGACAGCAAAGGCACTGGCAACCCATGACGTAATCGTATCCGGGATTGTGGCAGCAATGGTCACGTGGCCGTCAGGTCTACGTTAGTTAACAAATCGAAAATTAATGTTGTAATGGATAATGTATGCTTTGTATGTACGACAAATCATTGTAAAACAGTTTTATAGTCTGTAATACAGGTATTCGATTTTATTATATTCTTAAGCGTCCGGAAAAAATGAAAACAAATATTTGAGACATTTTGTCTTTAAAATATATTTGACTGCATAAAAATAATCAGATTTACTTTTCTCAGTATAATAGACGTATTGACAATTTATTGTTGAAAACAAATGTATATTTTAATATTAAATAAATAGCAATCACTCATACTGAGCTGAATTTGATATATATGGAGTTATGAAATAATTAACATATGAGAGAAATAAGAAGCATATGTCAGATGAAGGTGCAGGAAGGCAACAAGTAAGGCAACAAAGCAACAACTAAGCATAACATATAAATACAAAAGAACAATTCTGGGAATAAATGTTAATATAAATATCAAATTTACCATGAAAGAGTCATATGATGTTAAGTTTCAAATCAACACAATATTATTTTGTTTTATGATCAAATAAGTTTATAGTTATAAGCCGTTTGTCTATATGTTGCTGTAGTTTTCTACTGTCACAAATCATAAAATCTGTTTTTATTAAATGCATAGAGAGACAAGGAAACGGTCTGGCAGGTAAGCTGTTCAATAGTAAAGAGACATTTCTATGTTCACGTCTCCTAAACGTTGCGCGAGTTGTAATCAGAACAACTATTGAAGATTAATTTCCCCGAGTTGAGAACACATGACATTTAAAATATGTTATAAATACTGCTTCATTTTTTAATTTATTTTTTAAGACTAGTTTTACAAATTTTAAACAACGAACAAACGTGTTTGTCGTCGAGATCCTGCCGTCTCAATTCAGCTTGTAGAAACGGAGCCCATATGTTTGATTTTAACAAGTGTCATATTTTTAATTTGGATATCTACATTAACTTTCTTTCTATTTTTTTCAATATATACTTTTTATTTCAATTTCTAACCAATATAAAGTCAGAACATTGTTTTACCTGAAAGTGGTGTTACGAGAGTAAATAAAAAGCCAGACTATTGTTAGCAAAGATAGGCGCGGGATACTACTAAAGCTGGCGTTCATAAAGGAGTAAGGAAAAACGACTAATAAGGGCTTTTGTAATATTAACCTTCCACTGGAATATCACAGAATGCATTTCGAAAGGGATATGATCTAACTTGGCTTCTCTTGAAATAAAGCCAATAGGTATTACGAAAAGCACTTTTCGTTTCTGTTCTTTGTTATTGAGTCAGACATGAAAAGCTAATTGTTCCACCATTATAGTGTTATCACTCAGTGGAAACCATAAAGTATTGTGAGAAGAAATCTTTACCCAATGGTTTTATTGAGCCATAGCCATGTTTCTGGGAAATCCGAACGAATTGTCTCCACTTCTTTCAGCACGGGATTTCCTCCCATACCACCAGTGGCCAAGCCAGTTGCCATACCAGCACCCATTGAACCACCCATAGCAGCACCTGGGGCCATCCCAGCAGCGGCCATAGGAAACATTTGGGGGTCTTGAAACAAAAATAAAATCCTTCTAGGCAGGTGCAGATATGATTCGGAACTCAGTACGAATGAAATTGCACATACAAAACAAAACGACATCGGTAAAGCAGGACCAGCGACGACAACTAACGTGATGAAGAATGTCCTATTGCATGGGTTATACCTCATGCTGGTGACAGCGTTGGGATGGAGAGCAAAGGGTCGATAATTTTCTTTCATCTTGGACCATTGAATTTTAAAACAGAAGGAGTTCACTAATCGTTATGTGAAAATACTAGGTCGGGGACGAGTGATCCTAACTCAATTTTATAATGTTAAGGTCTAATTTTGTGTTTCACATAAAAAAACTTTAATTATATACTTGGCGTTTCCGTTTACTCTTTTGCAGCTTTATTGTAGTCTTCTCTCTGTTTAAGACCATTAGATACAGTTTAACGTGCCAAATGAGTTAAATATACACTTGACCTCCTTTCATGTCCTTCGAAAAACAAGACTTTTTTAGAGCATAGCTCGAAAGATTTTCGATTAAATGTTATGCGGCAAATCGTATTAAGAAGAAGCCATATTTACACCGGATCACAGAGTCATGACACGTGCAGAAATATCAGGATAATTGATAGACGCCTCACATATAAAAATACTACCAGCATTGGAAAGGTATCTCACTAAAAACTCCGTGATACTATTTATTTATAGATATAGATACTTCTATTTAAGCAAATATATTTTTTATCTAAAAACAGATACTCTGAAACTTCGAAAGACCTATCAGTGTCTGGACAAGGTAATTTAAGTTGACCATAGCGAACTATTTCCTTTAGCCAATTGTTCCATCACGTTTATCGAACAGTTTTATTGAATAAGAGACATGTCTCTAGGACACCAGAGCACATTGTCTCCAGTTGATGTTGCGAAGGGGTTTCTATTTTAATGGCGACGGATCACCAAAAACGACTGAAGAAGAGGACCACCAAGAAGGATTTAAGAAACGGCAACTGATGAATGAACACCACGAACGACTGACACGAAGAAACATTTCCTCAACAACTTGATTAAGCCATAATCAGGTCTCAATTTTCAGCTATAACGTTTCTGTCACACACTCACTAAGCATACCAAAAGTCATGCCGTTCCGGGAAACTGCCACCAACACCGCTACTAAAAACACAGGCTATACACATTCCAGCTCTACAGAGTTTGTAGGAAAGGAAATGCTTTGAGGTCTTAAAACAAATAACAATTAGCTGTCCTTGAAGCTTCAAATAGATAATGGAGGCTGAAATCAGATTTTTACCCAACAGTTTTATTAAGTCAAATCCATGTCTCTGGGAAATAGGAGTTTTCTCCACATTTTTAAGCGCCGAAGTTACATGTACTAACAAACCATCCGGACCAATAGCAGGAGGCATCACATGCATGCCATTCGCACCCAAAACAGGATCTTAAAGTGCATAAAGATGAAACATTCCGTATTAACTACCTCCAGGAAATGTAGTTTGAAATGTATGTAAAATTTAAATCAAGCAGACAGATCCTTACAACACAGAAGAGGAGGATGGGTGTTGAAGTGGTAAACGCATCTATCTTTCACCAAAATGGCTCGGATTTAATTTCCAAATAGGACGTAAAAAGATATTTTGAACACCTGTCCAACCACATGTTTTTCCTTGAATTATTCAGATATGTTTTCACATAGAAACCTGTGTGCGGTACCCTTTGGGTCAACAACTGCGGCTAATATTGTTAATCAAAAGTAGTAAAGTAGTACAAGCGTGTCGTTTCCTTCGCGTCTTGAGATCCGCGTATAAATTGATGTCAAGTTGAGAATCCTCGCCTAGGCACTATTTTGGGATGGTGTATGCAATTGGTTGTTGTAATAGCATTCTTCATATTTCTATTATCACGTTCACTTTTCTATATTATTGCGTTTTCCACAATAGTTCGGTTATCCAACTATAGAATAAAAATGTTACTGTGAGTGAGTTCTATCAGCAGCTGACTAATAATAACAAACAACAACATAATGCCATAAGGCAGTATCAGCACTAAGACCCTTGAAAAAGAACAAGAACAGGCGTTCCGGAGGGGTACGGAATTGTTTAATTGAAGATTGTAGTCAGTAGTGTTAGTTAATGTGCGGGGACATCCATGAAAATGGTTGAAATTGGGAGAGTGAATAGAGTCGAAGCAATGGTACAGTGTGTCTTGCACGTGCAATTATGTTGGGAATCGTAAAGCGTGTCAGCATTTGGGAGAGTGCAGAAATTGTAATGAAAGGTGAAACTTTAAAGTAAACGGGAAATGTGTGTCATATGTAGGAATAATACAGTGTGTGAGAAGTAAACAGTGCGTGTATATGGTGAAGTGTGGCAATGGCAACAAGACAAAGCATTGCTTGACAATCCATACACCCTACCGGTTAAATGGCACCATTTAGATTAAGGAATTAGGTTAGTGTGTGTGTTAATCGTCATATTATATAATAACTTAATATAGCTAAATTCACATACACACATCAATTGTGGAAAGTAATTAAGATTAGTATTGGAGCTTTCCCCAAACAAACGATTACAATGATTGGATTCAGATGTGGAGAAATACGGCACAACCTAAATTACACTCTAAACAGTATTTCTCTATTTCAAGATATAATTTGGTAACATCAGTTTTAAATGTAAATGGGGCATTATACAAATACCCCACACTGCCCCTATAGTCGCAAATGTTGCATCATTAAACATTTTGATTTCATAAAAATCCTTAATAAGTTTGGGCAAGACATAGATGGACCGTTGGCATCACTTGGGCGTACACTTATAAACGTGTCAATCAATCAGAGTTTACGGCGGCCATCTTTGAAAAGCACATCTACGCACGTTCACCAATGGGTGTCCGAAAGGGAATGAGCACACACCATATCAATATCCGATTTCAAAGGTGAACTGATAATATTATCTTAGAAAGAACAAAACAAAGGGAAAACTTCAGAAAATGGAATATTTGCATTCCCTCAACAGTAGGAAATGAAAGCGATCCTTTTACTGAACGCATTTTCATCTGAGTAGTAATTGACATATAGATTGTGTTTCACAGTTAAAAAAATAAAAAGTAAAAAGGTAAAAAAAGCAGGAAAGAAATCATCATTTGCTTTCCAATTTTAAGGTAGATTTGTGCGTGTTTAAAGCTTAGCCCTTCAGTCTACGTAGTCGTTTTTTGTAGTGGGAATAAAGCAGACTACTCTCTGTCCAAAACAAAAAAAAAACATAAAGGAAGGTGTTTAACATGCAAAGCAGAATAGAATATAGACGCATAAATGATACAATAGCACTTTAATGATAATGGGATGGTATAAATTTAGAACCAAAATATGCTATCTGATTTAAAAACAAATTATCTATACCCTGTCGTAAAAATCAAGCTGTTCTGAATTAGCAAAAGCCCCTAATCGTGTGTGTT